CGTAGCTGATTACCGAATTTTTGTTTTAATTGGGTTGTCTGACTGTTAGAAGCAACTGAATCTTCTGGAGTTATTTCCAACTTAACACTATGCTATACAAGTCTCTATGTTCTATTATCATTTCAGAAGACAAGGTCGTATTGTACCCGTACGACCAGGTACTGGAGGACAGTACCGTGTCGTGACACGGACAGCTACTGTAGAAGGGCATTCCAAAGCTGTTCTATCAGTAGCAGCCACCGATGAACTCCTCTTATCTGGATCGAAAGGTACGTGATCTTTTACTGAGTTGGAATAAATAGGTAAACCTTTATGTATCAAGTGTTTGGCCATCGTTGTCTTCAAAGGCCTGCAAGCGAGGGGGCAGTTCGTTGATCGTTAACATAGGACGGCTTTAAGGCGAAGAAGGCATTGATGTTATCGAAACAGTGTTCAGATGAGAAGGCATTGATGTTGCTTACGGAGCTTGCCGTCCTGCAGTGCGTTTCGTAAGTACAAGATCACGCTCAAATTTGGTATTTACAGGATAAGCAGCCAAGCAGATGAGTTTTGAGCATTACTATCAGATTTACTTCCCTGAATAACTCGCGCACGGACTTTTCATGAAACAACTCCTACCATAAAATTTTTATAAAAAAATTTTGAATTTTGCGCCATTTAATAAGTATAAAATCATTTTGAGAATTTGGAAAAAATTATCATTAGTAACGGCAAAGAGCTTGTGGTAGTCGATGGTTCTTCCTTGTTTTACTAAAAATACTCGAAACAAGGTTTCGAAACACCTTGCCACAAATTTCATTCCAAGCTTCAAGTACTGCCTGCTTGAGCTCTTCTGTCGTCTGGAACTGACGGTTGTTCGCATGAATCTTTTTTACAGTGATGCTCCACAGATTCTCCGTCGGGTTCAGATCGGGGCTGCAAGCTGGCCATGTCGGAACTTGGAAATTCTGGGAAAGGAACCAGCCTTCCGCGGAATGACTAACGTGGACACAGAACTATCCTGTTGAAAAACGTAGTTAGGACCATGTCGCCGGCTCAGAAATGGGACCAGGTGCCACAGTAAGACTTCCTGAAGATCCCTGAAATCCATTCTGGAGGTTAAGACAGCAAACACCAGCCCGACTTCTTTGCAGGAGGCACACCGTACCATGACACTTCCTCCTCCAGAATTGCGACGACTAGAGTTGATCGGCTCTTTCGCAAGTCATGTCGGTAGTAGTTGTAACCATCGGGGCCTTCCAAACTAACATTTTTTTGATCGAGAAGTACGACCTTAATGAGAATATTGGACTGTAGGCTAATCGGTAATACAGGCTGAATTTCGTTCAATCTCATCCCAAACCCAACATCGCAAATTCAAGTCGTGCCTTCCTGTAGTGGTCGGTTGCCTCGGATTCCTCCTCATTGTTGCCCTGACAATGCTACTGCTTTTTTCCACGTCTCTCCATTCAGTAGTTTTGGAATATTTTCGAACGGAACTGAGGGATCTCACGATTTCTCCCTACTTGCCCTCGTACTGAAAACATTATCACGAAAATCCCGCTTACATGCTTTCCTCCCGAAGAGAAATGATCTTCTCGAGCCAAAGTGCAGTGCATTGCTTTCAAACATATTTGCGACTTATCTCTCGTATACATATCCCTCCAAGTGCAAATTCTGCTGCTTTAGATTTCGAAACCTTCGGGGAACTGCTGTCGGGGTGATCCTATACGTATGAAACGGCAAAAAATCGGGAAGTAATCTACATCAATCTACATCGTTAGTGTAAAAGCTTAGCAAACCAAACCAGGTATGTTGTGGTTATTGAAGATGATGAATCTGATGGTGTTGCCAGAAAGATATGTGTTCGGCTGCTTATCCTGTAAATACTCAATTCGAGGGTGATCTTGTACCTGCGAAACGCACTGTATTCCAACGAGACAAGTACAGAAAGAGGACGTCTATCTGGAGATCCCCCAGTTCTTCTCCGTTTTTTCCTGGCCAGAAAACTGATGATCAATTCGCTTACTATGGTCCACAAATTTGAGAATTGCGGTCGTTCCACTATGGATGACTATAGAAGCCGATTAACTTTTATTAAATACAGCAGTGCTGCAACAAACATGTTCCCTCACTTCAGCTAACTCCAGAAATGCTTCTCCAGCAAAATCATTCGATCGAAGGTAGTCGTGATCCATCACCGTAAAATGTAACATGGCGCATGGCGGTAACTTCGACGGAATATGACTGAAATTAACGCAGATTTTTACTAAAATTCATTAAAGACGGGTTTTCCTCTTGAAAACTGCGAAATTAAGCCGAAGCAAATGAAGAGCGACAATATTCTTGCAGCCTACTTCGAGGGTTTCGTTCCGCGTTAAGAACGGGTTTTGATAAGCTGTAATGAGCTGTATATATGGCCTTCAAGGAGAGCATATGGGCCGTTGTCAGGCCGAAAAACGACTGACAGGGCGTAACGAGAGTTTAAAAGTTGTCTCCTTTGCATATCACACTCGAAAGTTGCCGAGTTCCAACGACTGTAGAGCCTGCGTCAGATATAATGGAGCACATATGTTGAAAGTTCAACAGCTGCCTAGAGAGCACGTAACACATATATACTACTATACATATATACTATACAATATTATACTAATATATATTAGGTGTGTGCATTAATTTCCGCAGCCGAATTCCAAGGGCCGTTGCGCGAACCATGTTAGAGGTTTGCCGATGAAACCTGTTATATTCTGTAAGATAGGGTATTGGCTACCTACTTAAAGACAGACAGATCAGTTTTTCCCCAGAATCCCGTTGCTCTCAGACTGATTGGTCATGGAACGTGATAAACCGCTTTCCCGGGGGGGGGGGGGGGAGGGCTTCTCGTGCTGTTTGATTTCAAGAAAACTGGCACTGAAGCCCACTGGATGCTTTTATGGAGGACAGGCTTCGTCTGAACGAACGTGTTGAGATGGTTTCTCTTCACTCGAGAGTTTGCAACGAAAGCGGAGTGTCCATTGCTAAAAAGTAATGCTGTGTGTGCATTTGGTGGTGGAATCAGAAGGGTATTGTGTTATATGAGCTGCTGAGCTCGAACGGAACTGTTACTGCTGGTCGCTACGAACATCAACTTGACAGTTTGTAGGATGCTCTCGCCTAAAAGCGGCTATTAATTGCAAGGGATGTCATGAGGTGCTGTTCCACCACGGACATGCCAGTCCCCATGTTGTCCAAGAATGTCCTTAAAAAATTGCAGTTGTTGGATGGGATCAGCTTGTTCAGCTCGCATACTCTCCAGATCTTGCTCTTCCTGAATACCACCTATTACGGTCCATGCTAATTAGTTTGGCAGATACACGCTTCCGAAATGCCGAAGAAGTGCGAAAATGGGTGGGTAACAGGATTGCCTCTTTGTAGACTTTTTCGGACCCGGAGTTAACAAGATACCAGAAAGATGGCAAGAAGTTGCAGCTAACGATGGGCGATACATTGGTCAATGTATATTTGGTATTAACTTTGTAATAATTATGTTTTTGCACGCGAAAAACGGCGGAAATTAATGCACACACCTAATATACAGTATCGGTTGGTAATATTTCACAATGCTCCACCGTACAGGTTTGTTATGAAGGAACCGTTTATTGGGTCGACGTTACGACTAACTCCAAGGAACTGGAAGTGGTTTGGAGCTCATAACAAACCATACCGTTCCATCATAACAAACCTGTGAGAAGCTTTATGAAATATTATCAATCGATGCCGATATGTGGCATGCCCAGGTTTCATGAAGACCGAACGTGGAAATCAGAATCGGTTGACTTCCCATTTCATGAGCGTTTCCTCACCGCGCTCACGTGACATTCACACTCTTCATCGTGTCTACGAGACTTTCAGAAGGACGCACAAACGGACATACAAGCAGACACACAAAGTTACCGTCATATATGTATATATATCCTACTATATATGACGCGATAAGTGTCTGTTGGTTTGTGTTGGTTTGTCTGGGTGTGTTTGACCGAAAATTCACAACTCCGGTTCCCATGGCCCTATAGCATTCAAATTCAGCAGGGATACGGGCGGCAGAATGGGCACATTGACGAGAGAAGGGGTCTCAGAGAGCAAGACCCACTCACCGATTGAATCCTAACGCTTTTGATTATTACGATCTAACTTTGACTCTCTGATATGTTTCAATCGACAATAACGGTTAGTACAGTGACAAGGACCGATTAAGGGTATTCAATTATAAGGAGACGAAAGGTGGTTCATTTCCTGCTATGAGATTACGACCGCTACCAAGCAAAGCTTGCGATTCAGTGAAGGATCACGTTCTCTCTTTGCCCCGACATCTTTCTTGGCAGAACTTATCTGACGGCAAATAATCCTGGATTCTCATCTAATGATATATCCTAAAATAAGGATATCCGATAAAGGCATTCGATAGTGGTGTTACGAATCGACAACATTTGTGAGTACCATTCAAGGCTTTGGTTGTCTACCAATAGAAACTTTGAAGAGTCATTAATTTTCAGATCAACAGCAACATATCGAAACATCCAATAGAAGCGTAAGCATCAGCACGTTCTGATTGCACACCCTGTTAGTCCACTGTCGACTTTCGCAATCCGAGAAATATCATTTGAACCGAATTGTCGGGACTATTTGTCGATTATTGCAATTCTGTCGCAAGAGGGAGGGAAGCCCGGCGTCAGCCGGGTGACCCGACTGATACATTGTATATATAAGAACTATACAACTATATTATTCGGTTGGAAGGAAAGTCCTGCAACAAAAAATTTGAAGCGTCAGCAATTTGTATCAACAGTGTGAACACGGTAGCAAGAAAGATAAACTTGTGGGTATTTCTCAGGTAATCAACACATGAGTAAATAAGGGCACGCGTGTGGGCTATAGCAGCATTACGGTCAATGAATGGACAACACCCGATCCGTACCATCACCTTCTACTAAGCGCGCCAAGGGAAAAACGCGGGTGTAGCGGCTCAAATTTTCAGCAACCTATTCAATGCTGGCACTGATCACCGGTCAACGGTCAACAATCGGTTGGATCGCTTCACTGGAGGAGATACTAGCCTTCGGAGTCACGCAAGCATCGTCCCTTGACTCAATGGAGGTTAGAGGGATCCATCCACTATGAGTTGCTAAACACAGACTAGACGGACACAGCTATAGGTTACCCCTATGAACCCCGAAATTCTGCCAACAGGGTTAGAGAAGGACGATCAAAACCGTAAATCACGTCCCTACAGAGGGACAGCGCACGTCGAAATTTTGCTTTGCACACTCGTCAGAAGTTCTATGGTTCGAATTGGTTCCAGGTTGTTTACCAATCGTACTCCCTAAGTGTTGCCCCTTTTACTTACCATGCGCTCCGCCTTCTTGAGCATACCGTTGTGGAGAAAAAATCATAACTTAATGTGATTTGAAAACGGCAGTCAATTACTTTTTTGAGTCACAGCTCCTTCTCTCCTAGATAAAAGGCATCAGTGATTT